AAGTGAGTAGGCAAATTTTGCAGACCTTAGAAATATATTCCTTCATTTTGCGTTTTTCAAAGCTACAGAATATGCAATATATTTAGAAATTTAAAACTGCTCTCCCTTAATAACTAAGCGACAGATCATATTTTCGGATAAATTCCCATTTGGATCTTCCGCTAAAGCTAGCTTCTTAAGCTGGATAAGTGTATTACTTTTTAAATCAGTTTTTGCCTAAATTGTGCGCGAAGTTATACCTCAAGAACTTTTTTTTCCACTTCAAGGGAATCCGGTAGGTGTCATCATTAACTTAATTTTGATTAGGAAACGTTAGAATGGAATGTTAAGATGAAGGACGCACATCTCTGACATCGTTTTGTATTTAATGGAGGTCTAAGGCGACTGATTTTACTTAAGAAGCTTTGTACGGCGGTGATGCATAGTTTTAGAAGGCGGCCGGAGATTATTTCAATGTTTAGGACATCGATGTTCAGTTGAATCTGCAAGCTGGGATGTCTTATCGATAACTTTAAGATGGGATATCATCTGATAACCAGTATCAATAGTTTAATTTTGTATTATAAACATACATGATACTACTTTTTATATGAAATCCGAATTTAGAAATTGTCATGCGCATTCGACAGCCTTACGGGGAAGTTACGTTGCAAATTTGTTTTTGGTTATAAGAAAACCCTAGAACATGATGATTTTGAGAACATAACGCTTTATATATGATTTCTGTCTGGAAGGAAATTGTTGTTCCGAGTTGTGACGCTATATGCAATCCTTTTCTGTAATCCTTTTCCAGTTGCCTCCAAAACGTTATGGTTTGGCCGTTTGCCAGTGAACTGCAGTGATGCTGACATCCGAGTAAGAATGTTTCAAAAAGTAATTTCAACCATCTCTAACTTCATTTAGACTGCAATTGCAAGTGCTGGCGACATCACCCGAATTAATTTGATCAATTCGCGGGCTTGTGCTTATGTAACTATGAGCTCTAGAAAAGCTGCATATGATGTTCTACAACGGTTGGCAAGAGATCTGCAAATTCAGAGGAAAATTGTAAAGGTAAAGTTTGAATTTAATACACTTTGTCACTTTTTGTACGTGGCTATGTTAGGTTGACTGGGCAAAAGGGACTGGAATGAAGGCAAATGAATTAGCTAAATATTGGGATAGCGAACGTGGTCTCTCGCTTATACCCTGGAATGAACTCCCAGACGATATGGAACGGTTCTGCGAAGGATCTTATCTGGATGTCGAAACGCTCCCGCCAGAAAAAAGAAGTAAGCTATAGTTTGCTTATGTTGTTAATTTTTCTTAAGAGTAGACATCCTTTAGATCTGCTGACTGATACGGGTGCCAAAGTGAGTACATCCCCCAATAATGCTGCTCCGCCAAAGACAGATACTTCATCACCACATTCACCACAGTCAAATTCCATGCATGCATCCCCAATCAAATCTTTGGTACCAGACTCACCGGCTGTAATTCAACCAGTACATCATGCACCACCGCAGGCAGTCCCGCCTCCTTCTCCATTTCCTCCTTTTATGGGTAAGTTTGATGTTTACAAATTTACAAGGGCATTT